TTAATCTCAATTAAAGTAATCGGTCACCAATAATAGTAAGGACACAAACCTTCAAAACAAGTAGCAGGGACGCATACTCGCAAGCAGATTTAAAACGCAGCTGTGCCTTTGCGTTAATAGATGGCAGCAGGTTAGCGCGGGTCCAACAAAGTGCGAGAGAGTGGGCTATCTATACTTGTCTTTATCTATGGCGATATAAACCAATTTCACTTCTTGCCGGTGAACGTTCGTAGAACAGCAGTAGTACTGACGTACCAACCAATCCAAATCCAGTATTTGGCCGGACCAAATCCACTACTTTAATTTGGACGCACACGGTAACAGCGAACGCAAACGTCAAGTTTATAAATGGGCTTAAACGTTTACTAATAAATTCTGATCGATGGCGCTATTAACTTTCTGTGTGTCTATTCTTGACTTTGAGAGATGGGAGTATCCCCGGGAGCATCGCAGGGAGTCGCTCCTCGCTCACGATCCCCAGCGGCAAAGAATCGTATTCTTGAAAGGCAGGGAATGCCAGTGAACACGCAGTCCCTGCAAGCACTGTTGCCAGCTTGTGTGACCAATCAAAATTGAGAAAATTTTGACGGTCTAGCAGGCTTGCCAATCTCATTTATTTACTATTGTGGCGGACCTCGTACCAACCTTTGGGTATAAAAGAGACAGACACCTAAGAATCATGTACATGTCTTTATCTATGCAAAAAGCGCTCGTTTAATACGCGACTGAACGGTTGGTTCTAGCGTGCGAGCAATAAAATATTATTGGTACAAATAAAATTCATGGCAGACTAACAGGCTTATGCAATTGTATACCTATACGCCAATGGTACAGATAAATGTATTTTAATTCCAGTTTGTATTAGAAGGATTAGGGTTTTTCAAACTATTTTGTCCGCAGTTTATCTGTTAATTCCTTCATTTTTTCACCATAGATTACGTGTTAGGAGCATAATTTAATTGATTGGTCTCAAAATTGAGGAAACGAGCCAAAACGTCGCACATTAGGCCATCAATAAATCAGCGTTTTGTCGATTTATTAATCGCGCTAATATGGATATAATATGGATTTCCTATCTATTTTCTATTTTGTTTAAATACAAACGTTTATTTCAATAAAACATTTGCGAGGCAGTAAGCCGGATACCCATGAGTAACAGTATACGAACATGTTCCCTCATATGGGCCCATCGGCCAAAATCGGTCCCCGGAAGTCGTAAAATTGCAAAACTAGTCTGCAAGCGACTGCATTCTGTATAAGCCTTGTTCTATGATCCCAGTGTAAAAGAACTCTTAGTGTGTTTGATTGTTTCTGTGTCCTATTTAGGTAAGTTAATGCATGAATTAAATGTATACAGTATTAACTACTTAAGTATATTATTTACAAAATGGAAAGTAAAAGTGCAATTTTGAAAAGCACTTCAAAGACCCATTTTATTCAGCATCTTATATTGAATCGAAAAATGAGTCTATGTTCTTTAACGAGACTGAAGTAAATGTAACTTTCAGGAAAAAATTTAGCCAAATGGAATTCCTTTCAAATTATGAAAAATCAAGGCCGCTATCAGTGAAGCAAAAAGATACACTTATCGAGTTTGTCTACAGCAGGCCCGAAATGTTTCAGGGTAAATTTTCAGACACATATACCCATGCAACAAATGTGATGCTATGGAAACAAATTTCAGGCATCCTTAACTCAATTCCAGGCGGATCTAGGAAATAATGAAAGCAATGGAGAAAGGTAAATTAAAGCAATCACGTTATTGGATTTGAAAAATCATATGAGCTGTTTTATTTGAAATTGGTGTAAGCGTATTTTATTTAATATGGATATATAAAGTTTCGCATTTGAATAATTTAAAAAAATGTATATAGGTTGTATTTCGTAAATATTAAATTAATTTAAATTTATAATATAACCTTTTTTAATCGGTGATTAAAAAAATATCTAATTTTAAAAACTTAAACTATTCTATAATAAACTAAATATAATAAATATGATAATTCCATTACAAACTGGAAATTCTGGAAAACTATCAAAATGTTTATGTCATTTACAAAGCAAATTACAAGCAATTAAATGGACAGTTTACTGACCCCCTGATGTGAACCGTAGGCACTAACAAAGTGTCTACCCTTGAACCATAAATTTTCCAAAAGAACAACTGTCGAACACATGTGGCCGTGCAGACAACCGATCACAATTCTATCAAATAGGTGTTAATCTTAGTTAGGGTCTGTGGGTCAATTCTTGGAAATATATAAATATATATTAGTCGACTAATCGCAAAAACAAAGAAAACGCACAAACAATTATATAGTATAATTTTGAACTAAATAGTAGCATGTCTTTGAGGAAAGTGGATATTTTTAAAGTAATTGTATTTGCAACTTTATCAAATACGAAATTTGTGATGATAAAAACAAGTAAAATTTTGACTGATTTTACGTCAAAATAAACTTACACTACGGCCCACCAATACTAGGGTGAATCGTTTGTAATCATTTCTTTACCTTACAGACTTTTGTAGACATAAAAAAAAATGTGAAAAGCAAGCAGGCCAAAATTAAGGCGCACAGTAGAGGCACAGGAGGTGGTCCACCTTTGCCTCCTCCAAAATATGAGGAAGAAGACGGTCGTGAGACAGAAGAAAAATTTTAGAAATGATTACCCCTGTTGCCCTTAATGGAAATGGGGAAGTTCCTGAACCGGAAATAATTTTGGAGGATTTTTTAGAAGATTCAGTAAGTCAAGATATTGTCTGCATACTTAGGAAGTAAAATTGGTTATGTATAATTTTAGATAGTACTAGATCATTCCTATTTATTGAGGGAGCACCCTGAAACAGGAAAAG